GTGTTTACATGTGTCCAGGCCACCCAGGGGGGTATCTAACATGGTGGTCTCGAGCTGGAACCACGTGTTCCTAACATGGTGGTGTCTAACATTGTGGTATCTAACGCAGTTCCTAACGCCCCCAAGCGGGGCAAGCGTGACAACACATGGTTCCTAGCGCTCCAGGGCGGGAGAAGCGTGAAAACACATGGGTTCCTAACGCCCCAAGGCGGGACACACACGTGAAAACAAATAAATCCTAACACCCTAGGGCGGGAGAAACGTGGAAACGCATGGGTTCTTAACGCCCCAGGGCGTGACAAGCGTGAAAACACATGGTTCCTAACGCTCCAGGGCGGGAGAAGCGCAACTACATGTATCCATATATATTTATAGATATACATACATACATACATACATACATACATACATACATACATACATACATACATACATACATACATACATACATACATACACACACCTATATATATATATATATATATGTGACCCTACCGCTCCAGGAGGCCCCAGGCGGCGCCAGAAGGCTCCAGGAGGCCCGAGGAGGCCCCAGGAGGCCCCAGGAGGCATTGGTATGTATTGTGATCTATGTAAGGGGAGCGCCTTTCGCCCCCCCCCCCCTCAGCGCCCAGGACGCCCCAGGGGGCATTCTTCTGTACTGGGACAAGTGTTCGGGGAGCGCTGTTCGCTTCCCCCCGCCCCCCAGAAGGCACCACCAGTCTCGAACATCGTGACAACACATGGGTTCCCCATGGCGGGAGAAGCGTGAACACATGGGTTCCGAACGCCCCAGGTCCAGGCGGATGTCTAATGTGAAGATGTGTTGGGGATGTCTCGAGCGAGACGTTTGCTTTTACGTGTCCAGGTCGCACAGGCGGATATCTAGCATGGGGAGGTGTTGAGAACGTCCCGAGCGAACCGCTTGTTTTCACGTGCCCAGGTCACCCAGGCGGACGTCTAGCATGAAGATGTGTTGAGGATATCTCGAGCGAGCCATTTGTGTTCACGTGTCCAGTTCGCCCAGGTGGATGTCTAGCATGAGGATGTGCTGAGGATGTGTTGAGAGAAACGTTTGTCTTCACGTGTCCAGGTCGCCCAGGCGGATGTCTAGCATGAGGATGTAGGCAGGATGTCTCGAGCGAAACGTTTGTCCCCAGCACGTTCCGTAGCGCGTCCCCTTGGCACGTCCCGCGGTGCGTCCGCGTGGCAGGTCCCCTGGCACGTCGCCTGGCGCGCCCCTTTGGACGTTCCACGGCGCGTCCTCCTGGCATGCCCCCCTGTCAATTAGCTCTGGGCAGCTGCTCTGTGCTCAGACAGCTCGAGCTTAAGATCCACAACGGAGGACTCGGTCCACAACGCTGTAGAGGACACTCGCGGCATGGCACGTCGCAGTTCAGCACGGTGCAGCACAGCACAGCCTTAGGCAAGGTACGTCAAGAGCGATCCATTCTGCATTGAATTTGCCCGTCGCCCATTCAGGTGCCTTTGAAACGTTGTCATGCCTTACATTTCTATATTCCCTCTGGGGTATGTGGGTTGATCATGTTGAGAAAGGAACTGTAGGTTGTGCAATCTATGTTGTGCAATTCTCTTTGACCGTCTTAACGCTGTCCTCTCCACTGCTCGTTCAAACATCCCATCCTCCCACCCGCACCTTGGTCGCAAGACCTCTTAAGACAAGACCGTGACGGTAGGTACCAGATGGCATTTGGCCGCGACACCGACGCCGACGACGACAGCGACAACGACGACGACGGCGCCGCCGACACTGACGACGACGACACTGACGACGTCTCCAACGAATTCGACGACGACAGCGACCACGACGACGAGACACCGACGACGACGACGACGCCGACGACGACGACGATGACACCGACGACGACGCCGACGACGACGACGCCGACGACGACGACGAAGAAAACGACGACGACGACGACAACGACGTCGCCAACGAAGACGACGACGAGGGAGAAGGGAGGACGACGACGGCGACAACGACGACAACGACGACAACGACGAGGGAGGAGGGAGGACGGCGACGACGCGAGCGACGAAGAAGGAGGAAGGACGGCGACGCCGACGACGACAACGACGAGGGAGGAGGGAAGACGCCGACGGCGCAGGAGCGCGCGCGCACGTTTTTGTTGAAAATCCGTGTTGCGAAACCTTGTGTTTTTGTAGGTTTTTTGGACACACGATTTTGAAATCCTTCCGAATCCAATGGGTTTTGAAGGATTTCGGCGTACGCGCGCGACGACGCGCGCGTCTGCACTTCGTCCCGTTTTCTGCAGAGGATTCTCGCGACGGCACACGCGCAAGGGCGTTCGACAGATTTCGACATGCGCGCGCGCGAAGCCCGTTCATTAGCATGTTGTGAAAACCTTGAAAAAGCTATAGTTTTCTTAAGATTTCGCAAGAGCTCGCGCGGAAGCTTTTTAGCAAATCAGTGTTGCGAAACCTTATGTTTTTGTATGTGTTTTGGAAACTCGATTGCGAAATCCTTCTGGCACCGAAGGTTTTTGAAGGATTTCGGCATGCGCGCGCGACGACGCGCACGTGTGCACTTCGTCCCGTTTGTTGCAAGGGATTCGTGAAACAAGTACTATGTTACAGCAACAAATGTCACCGCATAGTGTTTTTTACAAGGGAACCTCAGGGGGGGGAACCCGGCCCCCCGGGGATAGTGTGAATTCATATTCAGGATGGACATGTGGTCATAACCATATGTGATTTACATACCCGGCACGGGGGGCGATAACGCCAGGGGGGGGTAGAGTCTATTATCTTTTTTGACTACCCTGCACCGCGCCTGACCACCTCCATTGCTCGCGCAAACATCCTACCCACACACCCGCAACTTGGGCGCAAGACTTCTTAAGACAAGACCGTGACGGTAGGTACCACATGGCACTTGGGCACGACACCGACGCCGACGACGACAGCGACAACGACGACGACGGCGCCGCCGACACCGACGACGACGACACCGCCGACGTCGACGTCGACGAGGACGACGACGACGCCGACGCCGACGATGATGACGACGAAGACGACGACGACGTCGCCAACGAAGACGACGACGAGGGAGGAGGGAGGACGACGACGGCGACAACGACGACAACGACGATGGATGAGGGAAGACGGCGACGACGCGAACGACGAAGAAGGAGGAAGGACGGCGACGCCGACGACGACAACGACGAGGGAGGAGGGAAGACGAGGACGACGACAACGACGAAGACGACGACGACGGCGACGAAATAGGAGGGACGACGACGAGACGCCGACGACGGCGACAACGACGACGAGGGAGAAGGATAACGACGAGGGAGGAGTGAAGACGACGACGACGACGACGGCGACGAAATAGGAGGGACAACGACGAAACGCCGACGAAGACGACGAGGGAGGAAACACGACCACGGCGGAAGCGACGACGGAAGCGACGACGACGCAAAGACGACGACGACGACGAGGAAAGACAGAAGACGACGACGGCGACGACGACGACGACGAGGGAGGAGGGAGGACGACGACGACGACGACGCAAGAGCGCGCGCGCAGGCTTTTGTTGAAAATCCGTGTTGCGAAACCTTGTGTGTTTGTAGGTTTTTTAGAGACACGAATTTCAAATCCTTCCGAATCCAATGGGTTTTGACGGATTTCGGCGTACGCGCGCGACGACGCGCGCGTCTGCACTTCGTCCCGTTTTCTGCAGAGGATTCTCGCGACGGCACACGCGCAAGGGCGTTCGACAGATTTCGACACGCGCGCGCGCGCCACGCCCGTTTAATAGCATTTTGCCAAAATCTTGAAAAACCCATGGTTTTCTTAACATTTCGCAGGAGCTCGCGCGGAAGCGTTTTTAGCACATCAGTGGGTCGAAACCCTGTGTTTTTGTATGCTTTTTGGAAACTAGATTGCGAAATCCTTCCAGCACCGAAGGTTTTTGCAGGATTTCGGCATGCGCGCGACGGCGCGCGCGTGTGCACTTCGTCCCATTTGTTGCAAGGGGTTCGCCAAAAAGTGGTTCGTTAGAACAAAAAATGTCACCGCATAGTGTTTTTTCACAAGGGAACCTCAGGGGGGGGATACCGGCCCCGTTGGGACAGTGTAAATTCATATTTAGGATGGACATGTGGTCATAATCATATATGATTTACATATTCGAAAGGGAGCCGATAACGCCGGGGGGGGGTAGATCCTATTTTGTTTTTAGAAAGGAGAGTAGAAAAGGAGAATCTAGGCGGCGACGGGATGGGCGGCGACGGGGCTGCGACGGGGCGGCGACGGCGGCCGCATAGCCGCCAGACCGGCCTTCATGCCAATACGACGGGCGGCGACGAGGCGGCGACGGGGCGGCGACGGCGGCCACATTCCACAGGCTGCTGGGCACGTGACCCTCCGCGAGTTGACAGGAGAAGCGCGTCGCCACAGGGAGTCCCTTCTCTTGGTCGATGAGCAACATCGTTCGCAGCCACATCACACAATAAACACGCATTAATCACGACATCCTGCTACGGGATGTATAAGAGCACACCTGCCGCCGATCTTCTAGATCCGACGCCCCCCCACAGCCTCTATGGGTCTGCAGGGCCATTGGTGTGAAATGAATTACAGTTGGGCACCTGCTGGCCTGCTGGGAGACTGGTTTCTCTTGTGATGCGCCCTCTGGACACTTTCGGAGGTCCGCGTGGAGTTCTCATGTCGGCGCTGCCCCCCCCCCTCCCCATCCCCATACCCCAGAGTTCTGCGCGGACCTCCGGGCGTTCTTGGCCATGTGTGGTCTCTTGTTTTTCTTCGGAACGTTGGTTGTTCCAGTGGGCCAGCCCTGCATTCCCATCCGCCCCAGGATGAACTGCGTCCGCACATCGCTGTCAGCGAACCTTCCCCGTGCATGTCCCCGCGTCTCGCGTCTGATTCTGAAGGGCGTTCTTCCATTGGGCGCTCATCGTCACAGTAGCCAAGTTGCACCTTCTCACCCACTCCTCGTCGAGGGTAGTACGGCGACCAAGACCAGCACATCGACCGAGGCGAGCACAACAACTTTGCACAGCACTACCGAGACCAGCGCAACTCGACACAGCACCACCGCCACGTCTTCACCAACGAGTGCCACGGAAAGTCTTTCTACGTGGGAAAGCACGACGTTCAGCAGCACAACGGACAGCAGTGCATCGGGCAGCAGCAGCACAACGTCTTCTCCGCACAGTTTTACCCTTGCGAGCTGGAGCAGCACCACGGAGACAAGCACTACGACATTGACAAGCACAACGCAGACAAGCACGACAACAATCACATCGGCAAACTTTACGACGGAGAGCCGCAGTGTTTCCACGCCTTTCCCCTCATGTTCCTCTTCATCCTCCTCCCGAGGAGATGTACCACTGTGCATTCGTCGTAGCCGTTGAGGCGATGGCACATATGGGTGACCCTCGCTGCCCAAAGGAAGTGTCTTGGGGTGCCCTCAAAAGCCAGCCCTTTGGAAGCCCTGTGCCCGGGATCTCCCCGTGATGTTGCTGTTGCTCATGCCGCTCGTCCTACTGCTCTTGATTGGGTTGACAGGGCATTCTCTCGGAAAGGGTTCGGGCCCAGGGTTCTGTTTTAATTCCCGGAAAGTGCATGGGCCCAGGGTTCTCTCTTCGTTGGTCTTACCCCCGGGGACGACTTGAAGAGGGCCGGCGAATCTCCGCACGACGAAACAAATAAGGAAAGAGACGGAGCGGTGCGGATTCGGGTGGGGGTCGGGATCCGAACTTATCCGAACGGGACAAGCTAACGCTCCCGAGCGGGATAAGCATGAAAACACATGGGTTCCTAAGAGTCTCCAGGAGGGCCCAGGAAATTCCGGGAGGCCCCAGGAGTGTCTCGAACTCTCAGTGTGTTGCGCATGTTCCTGGAAAGGGCGCGGGCCCAGGGTTCTCTTCTAGTATTGTTTTGTTTCCCCCGGGCTTCGGCCGGCGAAAGTATCTGCGATAGATAACGAGGTAATTCCCATTCGGCGCGGGAGAATTGAGGATGTCCCTAGCGAAACGCTGTTTTTTCCCAGAAAGGGCTTGAGCCCAGGGTTCTCTTTGAATTGCTTCACTCTTGGTTTCGACGGCTGTAGGGCCGGCGAAATCATTTGCGATAGATAACGAGGTCGCGTAGGGCCAGCGAAAATATGTTTTGAGGATCTCTCGAGCGAAACGCTTGTTCCCGGAAAGGGCGTGGGCCCAGGGTTCTCTTTTAGCTGGTTTACCTCCGGTTTTGACTTGAAGAGGGCCGGCGAAATTATTCTGCGTAAATAACGATGTAAAGTGCTGATTTTCAGTCGAAAAAGTGCGTTTCGTGCGTGCCCGCTCGATGAAAGTGCGCACCCCATCTCGGATCCTCCATAAGAAACGGGGTCCGCAGACCCCCGTTTTCCCTTGTAAAAAAGAGGGTGCGGAGCGTTTTTCGCAGAATCGTCGACAAAAAACGCGCAGGAATTCCGAGGATGTCTCGCGCGTGCCGCGTCCCGCGCGCAGGAATTTCGAGGATGTCTCGACTAATTCGCTTGTTTTGTCAGGATTTCTTAGAATTTTGGCAGGATGTCACGAGCGAAACGATTTTTTTACATCGTTTGTTGAGGATGTCTCGAGGGAACGCTGGTTTTGCAAAATTTGGAGATCTCTCAGGCGGGGGCTTCGTGGGGGGCCAGAATTCAGAGGATGTCTCAGGCGAAATGCTTGTTTTCGTGTCCCGCTCGTAGGAATTCCAAGGTTGTCTCGCGCGTGCCGCGTCCCGCGCGCAGGAATTTTGAGGATGTCTTGACTAATTCGTTTGTTTTGCCAGGATGTCCTTGGATTTTGACCGGATGTCTCGAGCGAAACTCTTGTTGTTCACCATTTGGTGAGGATGTCTCGAGCGAAACGCTGGTTTTGCAAACTTTGGGGATGTCTCGAGCGGGGGCTTCGTGGGGGGCCAGAATTCAGAGGATGTCTCAGGCGAAATGCTTGTTGTCACGTCCCGCTCGCAGGAATTCCGGGGCTGTCTCGCGCGTGCCACGTCCCGCGCGCAGGAATTTGAGGATGTCCCGTAGCGCGTCCCCTTGGCACGTCCTACGGTGCGACCCCATGGCACGTCCCTTGGCACGTCGCCTGGCGCGTCCCTTGGGACGTTTCGCGGCGCGTCCTCCTGGCATGTCCCCCTGTCAATTAGCTCTGGGGCAGCTACTATGTGTTCAGGCAGCTCGAGCTTCAGATCCAGATCAGTTCGGTAAGGACTCGGATGCAAAGGAAGACTCGATCCACGACGCTATAGAGCACAACCGCGGCATGGCACATCGCAGTTCAGCACGGACAGCACAGCCCTCGGCACGGTACATCAAGATCGATACAATCAGCATTGCACTTGCCCGTCACCCAATCAGGTGTCTTTGAAAACGCTGCCATGCGTTACATTTCTATATTCCTTTCCGGGCTCGTGGGTCGATCATGTTTTTTTCAGAATTGCTTGAGGATGTCTCGAGCGAAACGCTTGTTTTGTGTTAATGATTGTCGTCTCCTGGGGGCCAGACGTCAAACCTTTGATCAAGTGAAATGCTTGTTTTCACGCGCCCAGGTCTTGAGCATGTCTCGAGCGAGACGCTTGGTTTCACGCGTCCAGGTTGCCCAGGCAGATGTCTAGCATGAGGATTTGTTGAGGATGTCTCGAGCGAGACGCTTGTTTTCACGCGTCCAGGTCGCCCAAATGGATGTCTAGCATGAGGAGTTGTTGAGGAGGTTTCGATCGAGACGCTTGTTTGCACATGTCCAGGCTGCCCAGGCGGATGTCTAGCATGAGGATGTGTTGAGAATGTCTTGAGCGAAACGCTTGTTTTCACGTGCCAAGGTCGCCCAGGCACAGCACAGACCTCGGCACGGTACATCGGGATCGATACATTCAGCATTGCAAATTGGCACGTTCCCTGGCACGCTCCGTGGCGCGTCCCGTGGCGAGTCCCCTTGGCACGTCGCGCGGCGCGTCCCCTGGCACGTCCCGTGGCACGTCCACTGGCACTTTCCGTAGCGCGTCCCCTTGGCACGTCCCGCGGTGCGTCCCCCATGGCACATCCCCTGGCACGTCGCCTAGCGCGTCCCTTGGGACGTTCCGCGGCGCGTCCTCCTGGCATGTCCCCCTGTCAATTAGCTCTGGGGCAGCCACTATGTGGTCAGGCAGCTCGAGCTTACGATCCAGATCAGTTCGGTAAGGATTCGGATGCAAAGGATGATTCGATTCACGACGCTATAGATCACAATCGCGGCATGCACATCGCAATTCAGCACCGCCCAGGCACAGCACAGCCCTTGGCACGGTACATCGAGATCGATAGATTCAGCATTGCAACCTGGCGCGTTCCTTGGCACGTCGCGCGGCGCGTCCCCTGGCAAGTCCCGTGGCACGTCCATTGGCACGTTCCGTAGCGCGTCCCCTTTGGCACGCCCAGCGGTGCGTCCCCGTGGCACGTCCCCAGGCACGTCGTCTGGCGCGTCCCTTGGGACGTTTCGCGGCGCGTCCTCCTGGCATGTTCCCCTTGTCAACTAGCTCTGGAGCAGCCACTATGTGGTCAGGCAGCTCGATCTTACGATCCAGATCAGTTCGGTCAGGACTCGGATGTCCTCTTCCTTATCCTCTTCCCTCACTCCTGCTCCTCCTGCTGCTGCTGCTCCTCCTCCTCCCTCGCTTCTCTTTCTTCTCCTTCTCCTCCGTTTCCGTCTCCGTCTCCTCCTCCTCCTGCTCCTCCTGCTCCTCCTGCTCCTCCTCCTCCCTCACTCCTCTTTCTTCTCCTCCTCCTGCACTCCTGCTCCACCTGCTCCTCCTCCTCCTCCTCCTCCTCCTCCTCTTCCTCCTCCTCATCCGTCACTTCTCCTTCTCCTCCTCCTTCACTCCAGCTGCTCGTCCTCCTCCTCCAGCTGCTCCTCCTCCTCCTCCTCCGATACGATCCACAACGCTACAGAGCACAATCGCGTCATGGCACATCGCAATCCAGCACGGCGCAGCACAGCACAGCCTTTTGTGGTGCGGTACACCAAGATCGATACACTCAGCATTGCAACCTGGCACGTTCATTGGCACGTTCAGTGGCGCGTCCCGTGGCGTGTCCCCCTGGCACGTCGCGCGGCGCGTCCCCTGGCAAGTCCCGTGGCACGTCCATTGGCATGTTCCGTAGCGCGTCCCCATTGGCACGTCCCGCGGTGCGTCCCCCATGACGTTCGTGGGGGGCCAGAATTCAGAGGATGTCTCAGGCGAAATGTTTGTTGTCACGTCCCGCTCGCAGGAATTCCGGGGCTGTCTCGCGCGTGCCACGTCCCGCGCGCAGGAATTTGAGGATGTCCCGTAGCGCGTCCCCTTGGCACGTCCTACGGTGCGACCCCATGGCACGTCCCTTGGCACGTCGCCTGGCGCATCCCTTGGGACGTTCTTCGGCGCGTCCTCCTGGCATAGACCCCTGTCAATTAGCTCTGGGACAGCTACTATGTGGTCAGGCAGCTCGAGCTTACGATCCAGATCAGTTCGGTCAGGACTCGGATGCAAAGGAGGACTCGATCCACCAACGCTATAGAGCACAACCGCGTCATGGCACATCGCAATCCAGCACGGCGCAGCACAGCGCAGCCTTCGGCACGGTACACCAAGATCGATACATTCAGCATTGCATATGCCCGTCGCCCAATCAGGTGTATTTGAACGTTGCCGTGCTTTACATTTCTGTATTCCTTTCCGGGTTCGTGGGTCGTTCATGTTTTTGCAGGTGTCGAGGGGCCTCGGCTCTCCAGGAGGCCGCCGGAGGCCCACGGGAGCCAGCAGAAGGCCCCAGGAGGCACCGGGAGGCGTTCAGAGGCTCCAGGAGGCTCCAGGGGGCTCCAGGAAGCTTCCGGAGGGCCCGTGGGCGCCCCCCAGGGAGGCATCAGGAAGCTCCAGGAGGCCCCTCGAGACAGGGGGCCCCAGGAGGCCCCAGGAGGCTCCTGCGAGCGCGGAAGCACTGTTATTTGCAAGGGATCGCGGCCATGGGAGCGCGGACGCCGTGCAATTCACGAGTGAGCTTTGCTCTGGGAGCGCGGACGCCGCGCATATCAATGGGGTCCTGGCCCTGAGAGCGTTGAGACTGCGTAATTTGCAAAGGGATCGTGGCCCTGGGAATTGCGGACGCCGCGTGATCTTCCAGGAGCGCGGCCCTGGGATCGCGGACGCCGTGCAATCCATCGGGTGCTTTGCAAGGGATTTTCTTCCTGGATGGGGTGCGGGCACAGCGCACTTTACAGTCGGGGCCCTGAAGAAGGAACCCTTTTCGTTGGGGAGGGGCTCCGCGTTCCTT